TGTTTTGGTAAAACAAAGATTATGAATTCACCCCGTCCCTATTAGAGCAAAAAATAAAATAAACTAAGACAAACAAGGATAGGGAAAAAAACAAACCTAGAGGCCAAGTCCAAGACAAAAGTGCAAAAGTGCTACACAGACACAACTCTATTATTCTGCCTTTATAAAGGACTAAATACTTACGATCTGCCCAAAACAGAAAAAATGTTCATAAAAAAGAGGATTTCTTTCAAAACTTTTCACATATATCTTCCAAAGAAATCTTCTGTTTTTGCAAACTTCTTTTCTAAGTAGAGTTTGGAGTCAAAAGAGACCATCATTCTCCCTTTCCTCAATATATTTAGAGAAACTACAAGAACATTTAGTACTTCTGATTGCTGGTTGATTTACAACAGCAATACCTAATTCCAGAAAACTAATTGTCATGTGGCTGGCAAGCAGGAAAAGAAAGAAACTGAGAAAGTATTTTATTAGTAGGGCTCAAAAAATTATATAGGCAGTCAATCTGAAACATTAGCTCCTTAAATACATCTGATTTGGGAATGATCATCAGTGCAACCCAAACAACCCATTTTTTTCACTCTAATCACAAACGCACCATTCTTGAATTAACTCACTACATTATTGCTTCCTACTCAGTCTGACTGCCAATCAAAACCAGCACTACCATTCCAGAGTTAAGTGCTGGCTTCTGTACATTCCCATGAATGGAAACACAAAACAGAAACTGTACTGTCCGTAACAACTGCAGATCAAGTCCCTGTCAGACAGTTCAACAACTATTTGACTGTCTCTGCTGGCATTTCCGAAGGGAGGCCCACGAAGGCTGCTGAGAGTGAACCACTCAAAAATTTAACTGTGCTTAAAATGACGGATTTTAAACGACAAATTGCAGTGCTTATTAATTTTGCTACGTGGCTTCCATGTCCCACCCATTCAGCTGGCGTCTATGAACAAGGCTTCAGACAGCAGAGTAGTCACTTCAACCAAGACGACTAAGTAAGTGCTGTGTATGCAAAGACGAGGAAATTAATACACAAGTGATAAACACCACTCCTCCACCTTTGGCTCCTCCAGGAAGATAAAAAGCACATGGAACAGCAAAACACGTTATACATTTTCCCCAGAAAAGTTTCCCTGCAGCTTAAAGAAAAGTCATTGATGAATTCACTTGCCAGTCTCAGCCACTCTTTTCCCTGGGCATACGTCACTTTCTGTACCAGCAGCATTCAGCTCTGAGTGAGCAAGCAAGGATCCTCAGCTGAACCCAGGGTGCACTACAAAGCTGGTAATTCAGACATTGCCTCCATCCTGGGAGAGTGGCATTTCAAAGGGCAGAGGTGTGAGCACAAAGGTGTGCTCACCTGGAGTGCATCTAGCCCCACACGCATTTTAAGGAATTGCTTTCAACAGGACCACGCAGACCCAGGCAACATCACAAGATCACATGGAAACCTTCTGTTCTGGCCCAGAACCTCTCCTTCTCCCTCTCATTCACGTACTCAGGAATAACAAACAAAAGGTCTCTGACAATTCACTGCAAAACCATCAACAAGGTACCCTGTCCTGCATCCAAGGCTGTGCCTCATAGCTACACAGAAGCAATCACACTATCAGGCACAGCAACTCAACTATTTTGCAGTACATCTGCTCTCACTCAAGCAAAGAATCCTAAACACAATAGATGACATGCAACTGCTCCCCAAGGCACCAAAAATATCAAGTTAGGGACTGGGCTGACAATAAGGAATCATTAATCCTACTGTATCTACCTGTCAGCAGGAAGCCCTAATGCACATTGCTAAACAGCAACAAAAGCAGATCCTGAGTCACAAAAAAGTTCCAAAATTGATTTTACTGAAACTCAAGTTACTTTCTGAGATGTCAGTCACTTCCCTGAAAAATTCTTTACAATTTTCACAAAGAAGCTGATCAACAAACAAAGTCTTAAATATCTAAGGCTATTCACATCACAATGATACTGTAGTTGATATTTAGTTGATACTGTAATACAAAGTTCATAATTCCAGAGTTATTGGTATCCTCCAATGAATCAGTCAAAATCTGCCCATTCAGAACTCCAACAGTACCTCTAAAATCCACTAAATTCAGTAGCATCAAAAAATAATCACTGCCTGATTTTTCAACTGAAATTGGCCTGGTGTTTTGTTTCGGTTAATGAAGCAACTTTGTTAACTGAGGCAGCTGAGCCCTCATGACCAAACCTTGCCAACGCAGCTCAATCAAGAAGGCAAATCAAACTTGCTAAGAAAAACACAGCAGGCTACAATAACCAACAGCCCACAGAGTTCTCAGCTATCTACCAAAGTCTCACAGAAATGAGAGAATCATTTACTTCATCAACTTTCCTCTCATTACAAGTATAAAGAAGTGCAGAGTAGTTTAATTCAAAAATTTTCTATTTTTATACATATAAATTCAAGTATTTTACAATTATACATGAATTAATAATCTAATCTTGTATCTTCCCCTTTGCCAGACAAGTGACTGCAGTGCAATAGCAAAACCAGACTTCTCAAAATTCAGAGCCTCTCACACACATTTTTGTGGTATTTGACAGTACCATAAGAAATAAAAAGTTCTAAAGCTTGTATCCTAGCTACCTTTTTCATTTTCCATTCTGCAACTACGAAAGATATTCCTCGTATCAGTTCTCCTCCCCTCTCCAAATACTTTAAGCACTTTAATAGTTCCATTTTCCACTTCATTCTTTTAAAAGATTTTAACACTGGAAAACACACTTACAAAAAGAACACTTGATATGCCAACAGAAAGAGCAGCATTCTGTCACAGAAAGTATTCTAAATATTTTGAAAAGAAAAACAAATATTCAGTTATCTTTAGTACAAACCCGTTTACATGCACACCTCACAGCAGATTTTAGCTGCTGATTACTTTGAGATAATGCCATTCTCCGTAAGACTTTGTATTTTTTTAAAGAAAGTTAATTATAGGAGGAGGCAATAGAAGGAAAATGGCAAAACACCCAATTCATCATGTTAGATCAGACAAAAAATACTCCAAAAGGTAATAAAATTAATTGGTTGAGACATCTGTATGATCTATTTTACCAACCCCAAATTTTCCCCCAGGAAAGCAATTTAACACTGAACAATGCTTGTCAAGATAAGAAGAAATTTGTCTATTTATCTTTTTGGCCAGTTCCACTGCAAATCATGTAGGCTGGAAGCTAGCTCATCAAAGCACTGCAAGAGAACTGTTTACATTTCCAGTGAACTGGGGGGAGAGAAGGTGCAGAGCCCAAAAAACTTTTTTTCTAATGATTTCAATGAAAACCTGCCCTGCTTTTCAGGTCCTCAGGTTGCTCCCCCCCATCCTTGCCTCTTTATACACCCTTGTAGAAGCTCAAGCAGAACTCAGCATTACTCAAGGTGATCAATGATTTTTGAACAAACTGGCCTGAACCCGCTTTGTCCACCTGCAATGCACAACAGGGAACTCAAAACTTCTACAAGGAAATAAGCCAGAGAAAATAAGAGGTTTATTTGCAAAGGAAGAAACACAACAAGGTCAAAAACATGAACTCTGGCCTCTGGCTGTCCTATGACAATTCTGACCTCACTTTGAAGGGCACATAGGAGACGATTGCTTGATACAAAAAAAAATTCTTTAGCTACTACTTAATAGCCAATTGGTTACATAATCATGAGAAACCAATTGAACTGTAGTACATCTTACGTGTCCAGCATTTATCTGAACCTTTCTCACACTGTTGGCATTTCTATCCTATAATTGTTTATTTAGCCTTTCAGAACAGTCAGGGCTTCATCTAGAAAGGCAGGCACCCTTCTACTCCTTTCTAAAGGAATAAAAAAAGGAAGCAGAGAGGAAAAGGCATTTGAAATACTTATACAGCAGCTTTGTAAGCCACCTTCAAGCCATCATCATGAGACTACTTCCAATTTCCTCACAAGTACAAATCCAAGCTGGTATCAAATTTTAATCTTCTAAATTCAACTCAGCTGAAAACAATTCTGATTCTGATAAAACCCCTCTCTTGAAGGGGTATTTTAGTACTCTGAACTTCACTGCAAAAGATCTCACTGACTGTTGGTTCTAACAGCACCAAGAATTTTATAAACATCATGCAGTTATTACACTCAGGCAACATCATTAGGAAAAAGACTTTTCATACAAATTATTTGTCAAGCTCTATATACCTCAAGGCAGGTTAGAGCATGACACTCAGAAGAGCTAACACGGTGACCTCAACAATCTGTACTAGACCACTCTCAGCTGTTCATGATGGATTTAACTTATCAGTGGCAAGTTTTTCTCAAAATATACCTGCAAGAACAAGACTTTACTTCCAGTTTAGCATGCAGGATATCAAAGAATTGACTGGGCTCATAAGAAACCAGCATGGGGCACAAAATAGATCCCATAAGACTTTGGCTGTACTTTTTACCCAGACGTCTTAGGAGGATGGACAATCCTGCAGGCCCTCAATTCAGGACTTGTAACTAGAATTTCTTTCACAAAGCAGTATTTGCATCACTAGGCCTTTCATCAGTATAGAACAGTACCCCATTAGCCTTCAGCACCTGCCTCTGGGAGGAAAACAGAAAAAAGTATTTTTATGCTCAATTAGGTACAACCAAAGAAACACTTGGAGCTCCTTTCATGTAAGGGAAGTCACCTACCCATGCAGACAGCACCTCACCGGGCAGCTGCTGCCAGAGAACACAAGGTCTAATGAAAATAACTTAACGTTACGCTTACGGCTGTATCAAGTTTGTTAGTCAACACGCACAGCAATACCAGCCATGGCTGTGCAGCTGAGCGGGACACGCTCCCAGCCCGCCGGCACCAGCTGCGCACACGCGGTACCTGGCACGGGCATCCCCGCCTGGGGCTGTGCCCGCAGGCCCCCGGCCCGGCAGCCTGCCCGCCCCCCGCGCCGGCCCCGGCCTTCCCCCGGCCGCCCCTCGCCTCGGCCTGGCCCGGCCGCCGCTCACCTTCTCCTGGGCCTTGCGGTAGCGCTGCAGCGCCTGCTGGGTCAGGTCCCGCACGCGGAGCTGCCCGTCCTTGCAGGGCACCACGATGCCGGTCCGCCCGAAGCACACGGTCACTTTCATCTCAGCGCGCCGCCATGCCCGCCCTGCCCGCCCGCGATCGGCGCCCGGCCCGGCAGGTGCGGCCCCGGGGGCGGGCGGCAGGTGCTCCCGCGGGGCTGGGGCTGCGCCTCCGAGCGCGGGCAGCGCCGGCAGCGAGGCCCGGCCGCGGCCTCTCCTTCCGCCGTGCCCGCCCCGCCCCGCGCGGCGCTCCGGGAGGCGCGGGCCGGCCCGGCCCGGGCGGGGCGGCCGCGCCGCTCGCCCGGGGTACGGAGCGCCGGGATGGGCTTAAAGGGGCCGCGGGGCAGCGCTGCGCGCACGGTTGGGACAGCCGCGGCCACCCTGAGCGGCCGGAGCGCGGTGCCCCCGCACCCTGCGCTGTGCGGAGCGGGCACCTGGGGGGCTGCACCCAGCGCTGCCCGCCCCGGAGCGACCGCCGTGAAACGCTGACGCGCAGCAGCCCCGGGGTAACGCGGGGCAAAGAGCTCTGTGCACACAAAGCACTGGCTTTATACCGCGGTGGGCTCAGAGCATCCCTGCGGCACACAAGATACACCTGGGCTCAGAGCATCCCTGCGGCACACAAGATACACCTGGAGAGAAATAGCGCCTAACGACCTGCAGCGTGGTCTAGTGACCAGGGCATCAGCACAGCCCTTGCCCTACGAAGCTGTGGAACACACACATGCACAGCTGCCCACCACGACCTACCGAGACGGTGACACAAAACCTCGCACACACCTTGCCACTACACATAGTGACCTGCGGGCACTCCACAAGCACCCACTGCTCTGCAAAGTACATTTTTCTGTACCACGTGGGTAACCAAGTAGTGCTCCCTCTACCTTACCTACCACCAGACCACATACAACATAGTGCAAATACTCAAGACAACCATTATAATCATAACAGATCAATCTACACACAGATGTGTGCAGCTAAAATCACTGCAAAGAAAAGGCAGTATAAAAATACCCCTAAACCACAGCATGACATCAGACAGCAAGAGGGGACTATTGCTGCAGTAGAAATACCCCCGCAATACGGATTAGCATTCAAAAAGACAGTCCAAGCCCTGTGCTGTATGATGTAACCAAATGACGGTACCAGAGATGTTGCAGTGGAAGTGGCTGGAGGTTAAAGTTAACAGTGAAGTTTTGGGATGAGATGGGAACAGAGCCAAGTAAACGCCAGCAAATGGAAAGTTCATCCTGATTCCTTAGGAACAGGCACATGTGGAGTGTGGGACTGCTGCAGTGGTAAACAATTCCTCCTTGCTTTTTCAAATCCAGACGTGTATGCCACCAGCCCACAGCCTTTCAGAGCAAATCACAGGGAAATAATCTATTAAACCATATATAGACCTGCTTTCCCTGGGTATGTACGTGTGTTTGCATATGCAAGTGAGCAAATGTGCATCCCATATGCTTTGAACCAGAGAAAAATTACTTTCTTTTCCCCTCCAGAGCAAAGAAGCAGTGGAGAGGAACCGGAATGTTCTAGTTCTTCAGAAAACACCGTAGGGAAGGTAGCACAGCTTGCAGGCCAGAAACACCTCCAGGGCAGGTAGGGCAGTGCTGGGGGCAACTGAAAGGTTCCCTGGAGTCAGCCCATTCTAGACCCACTGCTGTGTCCCTGCCAGCTCAGCCCTCAGCCAGCTCACCGCTGGCTCCCAGTAGCAGAGCAGGGCCCAATGGTTTCTTGTACTCAGCTTTTACCACTGTAAAGCATTCATTGTGGTAAGTGCTTATTCCTCCCAACTGCTGGCGGGACCAGTAAGTCAGCCTGGCTATGAAAATTATTCACATGAAAAATAATCCAGGAGAAAAAGGGAAGCCTTGGTATAACACCTAGCAATTCTGTAAGCTGGATTTGTACAGAGGGAGCAGCAGGGGTACCTGGAGCAGGGAGCAACAGCTCCTCAGCCCTTTCTCTGCTCTTGAGAAATGGTAAGGGGGAGCAGTCCCACACAGCAACCTCAGAGCTAAATCAGTGGGAGCAGGAGGCAGGAGGAGTTCAAGGCACTCCTGTATTTCAGCTGCTAACGTGCTGGTGGGAAGCCTTGATCCCTGTGCTTATATGGTTTTGGCTACAGAGTACAAGGGATTCTTAGGTTAATAATTGACTATGCACATAAAGGCCTCTTTCTCCTTCTCTCTCCCTTTCCCCCTCTCCCTCTGTTTATAAGCAAGGTCTGACACACTCAGGAAAAAATGTGGTATGATTTTCTTTTTTCTCAGATTCTGAAAAGTGCAGGTGATATGCGCTGTAACATCCAACTGGAGTTAGATAGAACTTGTTGACAGAGAAAGTGTCTTGAGTTAGACTAACTGATATGTCTGAAAAACAGTGAATCCATTTTTTCCTCAGTGCTGTACCTGAAGCATAAACAGCAGGTTTCAAAGTGTTTATGGCTAGACTATAAGGACCTATAGCTGTTCCAGAAAGAAAGAAAAGGTTTTCTTTAAATGTGTGTGCTTAGTACCTTACAGAAACTGAGATTGTATTTAATTACCACACATCAACAGGGGGGAGTGAGGAAAGGTTGCAGAGGAATCACCAGTGTGTTTACTCTCTGACAGTATTTGTTTGAAAGTTATGCATGGTATTGCTAATAAGACATTATTACATTCTGGGTGCATCATACGTTTGTTTATGTTGAAACAGTCTGAAAGCCTTTGAAGCCATCTGGTAACAATTAACACCTACATATCATATAGTTACCTTTAACTGTCTCTGGGATAGTCTGCACAACTTTCTGAAAAGAAACTGTTTCCTTTATCAGAGAGTTGGCCATGCTATTTTTTTTTTATTATTTTATTTTTTTTTTCTGTGTGGAGCACTTTTCCAAAATTAAGTTCCTCCAATGCTGGTAACAGTGTGACAAGAAAAGCCGTCATATTGGCACAGCTAAGAAGCCAAGTATGGGAGGACCAAGAGCGTTGAACTGGAATTCAAACAAAATACTTAAGAAACTACTGCCTGAGTTGCAATAGGGTGTGTTCCGATCCGCTTAGATGCAGAGGGGAACCAGCTTCTAAAACATTCTCATAATAGAGATTAAGGCACAAACGAGGCCAGAGGTTGGATCCCAAAACTATAATTCAGCTTTCTTTTGTAACACAAAAGAGCAGAGAGAAAGAAGAAAGATAGAAAAGTAGGAAAAGCTAAGGGTAACTGTTAAAAGCACAGGACAGAATTTACCACCACCATGAAGTGCTGCTGGCTTGCAAACTGGTAGATCTCTGCTGGGCTTCTTCCCTGGTTGCCTTGTCGCCTCTGAGGAAGGAGCCAAAGCAGCAGAGTAACAGGCTGGCAGCAGCTCCCACAGCAGTCCCCAAACAGCTCCCCCCCAGTCCCTGAGCATGACCCTAAATACCCTCGCCATTGTAGCCCCTGGATGCCCGCTGGCCAGTTCACCAGTATCCAAGCAAAGGTCGCCTGGTACCAAGACGGGCCCTGAGTGTCCATTGGCTGGTTTCCCAGTCTCCAAGCAAGACCTGACCTTACCTGGGAGAGTAAATCCTTTCTGTGTTCTTGATTGTAACAACTTTTTATGCTTTTTGCTCTTCTACCTGCCTCTGCTGGCTTGCTAGGTACCTCCCGGAGCTTTTGCAAGTAGCTCGGCTCCTGCAGCAGCCTGGCTGTGGCAACACGGCTTTTTAGCTCCAAGCTTGAGACAATGGCGAAACAGATTCCATCTTTTAATCAGCTTATTACAGAGTGAAAGAGAGCTGAGGGTAATTTTTACTTATTAGATGTCTACATCATTTGTTCCTGCATGAAATCATCAGGAATTATGACCAAAAAATACTTTCCTGGGAAAAAAATACCCCGTGAACCTTGGAGAGCTGAAGGATTCCAAACCCCAAAGCAGCTGCAGAACCACATACGCCTCTTCTCGCTGGACACGCAAAACCTCTAAGAACCAAGTCCTTGATATCATCCTCATGCCCACTTTAAACTCACTCAGAGTAAAATACAGCAACTTTGAAAGCTGTCTAATAATGAGGTCTTGTATTTACTGTACTGTTGTGCATTTGAGAAGGGCTGCCTGCCTGGTTCTTTAACGGAAATCTGAACCATATTTCATTCTAAGGAGATCATCATACAGCTAATGCTGTAAGCAGCATAAACTGGCTTTGCCCCCCAGAGGAGGACTTCTGCTCCCTCCTGGCCCCAGCTGTTTGTTCCCATCCATTCCCTTTCGTGTGCCAGCACACACAGTTGTAGGTCTGTGCAATGAGATGCTGTGGAAATTAATTTTTTTGCCAGATTAGCTTTCAGCCAAATCAGTTCTGCAGAAACCAGAAAATCAGGAGAAATCAGAACTCAGTTCTATAATGGGGTTTAAAGCCTGTGCTGGCCCCAGGGAGGACACAGCACAGCAAGACAGCAGCCTTTTTTCTTTTGATTTATACCAGGTTACAGTACTTTGCAGGAGCTTAGTTGTGAGTTTCAGACACAAATACATATCCATGAGATAATATTCATGACATTCATCATTCATGTATCAGTTCCATGAGAAAGGATGAGCGGATTTAACAACTTACTGTCACTGAAGGATACTACCCTTGCCTTCCTCCCCTCCCATCATCCTTTCCCACCTGATGCTTCTTGGGTATCTTCATGAGCTTTCAGTGCCTCAGTCTGATAAAAAACTAACACAGAAAAAGAAAGGCTTGTTTTCTGCTTTGTTGGCAAGCTAAGGCCACTCAGGGAACGTTCTGACACATCCCAGAGCAGGCTAGAGGGCAAGGGCAGGGCCGAGCAACTGGGAGCAGGAAAGGGAGTGGATGAGACCTCCGCTTTCATCAACCACAATGAGTCCTTTGCCTAAATGACTGCCTTAGCTAATCTTTTGCACTTTTCATGTGGTTTGGTACTACAACTGACTGCTTTGGCGTCCCCTCTGGGTTCTCTGTACACAGGCTGCAGGCTGTCAGGTCCGTACAGTCAGCTCCTGATCTCCTGAGCATTAATGGGAAACTGCACAGCCACCACACAGGGTGCTGACCAGGTATAAGCTCCCTTTACAGCATCCTCAACACTTG